GAGAAAGGCATTATGGAGGGATAGAGTCAAAGTATGGATAAGACTTGGATAGGCAAAGGATGAAGTAAAAGACCATTGTAGTAGAGAGCAGAATGATTCGAGTTGGAAATAGGAATGAACCTACTCGAAGGATATTTAGGAGTTTGGATATTTTCTAGAACTGCAGAAGAAAAAACAGTGAAGAAAAAAGGTTATGTCTGTGAAAGGCTCTTAATGTCTAGAGAAGATTTGACACTGGAGATTTGGGTAGCCATTAAAGGATGAGATTATCACTATTATTACAGTAAGCACTTACTTCCTGAGGAAGATTGAGATTATACATATCGGGTTGATATTTATGTAGAAGAAATGGAAGCATAGGGAACAGCTTAGAGGTGCTTTCAGTAGCTCGATATAAACGTGAAGGTCTGTACTAAGTGGTAGTGGTGAGGCTATGACTGACAGGAGTAGGATGGGGGAGAGTGAGAGTCTCTTTTGGTGGTGGTTTTTGTTTTTTGTTTTAGCTTGGTTTTGCCATGTTATTGGAAAAATCAAAACAGCTGTGCTGTGCTCTGCTCCGCATGCCCCCTCATCCCTCTGCAGGGCAGCCTGGGCTTGTTCTTATAGGAAAGGCAGGAGTTCATATGCAAGGCCCCGGAATTGGCGTACTTGTTAGTTCCACTTCATTTTGTTGGCTGAGCAAGTTACAAAGCCAGACCAGGAATTTAGGCTGGTGGCTCTTTGGCCAGTAAAACTTTCTTAAAAACGTTAGGGGATTTCTGTATGTCTGATAGAGTCCAGTCCATGTTCTGAAACCCACACCCCCAACTGTTTTTGAGACTTGACTTGACTCCAGATGTAATGACTACTGTTTGGTCATCAGAATTCTGTGTGATCATGCCCTTAAACTTCCTAAAAGCTATTTTGCCAAACTAAGAATGTCTATTTAGACACACCTTTAATTCTTTAGACATCGTAAGAGATTTATAGCTAAATCCTTGATTCGATCTTTGTCCATGTTGGCATTATAATTTGAAAATCTTCAGGGAGACTGGAGATGAAAAACAGTTCTATTTTCCAACCCAGCAAGTCCTGGTTCTTCTATATTCCCTCTAGATTCTGCTTGTAAAATGTCTCATTCTTTCTTGTAAAACTGATTATACTTAACTAGGAGCAACCGTTTCAGCTTTCTGCCTGGAAAACAGCTTGCTGAAGTCACAAAATTTCTTATGTATATTGTCTACCTTCTTCTACGTTATTGACAGCATATTTACCAAGAATTCCATTGCTACATAACAAGGGTCACTATTTTTTTAAGTCCCTCACAATTTTTTCATTATTTTTCTTGCCTCCATAACTGTTGTTCTGATCCCAAAGTCAGTGCCACAGATTCTAAGTTTTGTTATAGTGCGTACCGCTTCTAAGGCACCAATTTCTGTATTAGTTATTTAATGCTGCAATAATGCAGCTAACAGCAAACCTAAAGCCTTGGTGGCATCACAACAAACATTTATTTTTGCTCACAGTCTGTGGATCAGTTAAATGCTTCTGCTGATCTGGGCAGGCTTGGCTAATCTTTACTGGGCTCACTTGTGAATTAACAGTCAGCTGGCAGGTTGGCAGGGTGTTGGCTGACTCAGGATGGCCTCACCTGGGTGGATTCAGCTCTGTTTTATGACCTCTCATCCTTGAGCTTATTTTCATGGAGGAGGCATGGTCTAAAGAGAGAAATTATGCAAGAAGACCTTTTAAGACGTAGCCTTGGAACTAGCCTAGCTAGCACACTGTTAACTCTGCCGCATCGTAGGGCCAGCCTGTATTTAAGCGGTGTGAAACTACATTCTTCTTAATGGGAGGCACGAGACAGGAGGTGGACACAAGCATGGGCAAATTGGGGATGCTTTGAAAATCCACAGTCTTTAACAATTTTTGTTTTTTGTTATTAATTAAATTAAAACTTCTGTGAGGTATTTTGGGGGATAAGTAGTAGGATTTAATAACTGATTCCAGCTAGAGAATGATGCTGAGAGAAAAAACATTAAGAAAAAATACAAACGTAGAGGTGTGGATTCATTCACATGGTATCTGGGATTACTTTGAAATAGTTCAAAGAAAACACAGATGGATCAAATATGGCAAATATCTTTTTAATTGTTAAAAATGAGCATAGTTGGCATGTGGGTTCATTCTACTTTTTGTAAATTTGGAGTTTTTAATGCTAAGAAATTTAAAAGGTAATACTGCAGTTTTAAATCACACTGACTTGGATAGTATTGGTAATACTGAAATAAATAATGAAGTTGAAAGGGATAACTGGTGTGGGGCTCAAGATGAGTTCATTTTGATGTGTTGAATTTGAGGTAAGATATCCAAATGTAGATAGTTCATAAATAATGGGAGGTTTAGAAGTGGAAATAAGGATTAAGTGAATTATTGTTCCATTTCATTGTCACCATCATAAAAATAGCATGTATAATTGCTGCTTTCATGAATTTTCTGTTATTCTGCAGTCGGATTTCTCAATCCGTTGAGGACTTCTGAAGGATATGTTATGTTACTGATCTTTCAAAAATCTAATAATTAGAGACTCATTGCTTTTAGATATATAACTTGGCATCTTTATTTGTAAGAATATTTTCTCTTTTAAATAGTTGAGGTGTAATTGGCATCAATTTAATATTAGTTTCATGTGTATGACATGGTGATTTAACATTTGTATACTTGCGAAATACTCACCACAGTAAGTCTCGTTACCACCTGTCACCAAAGTTAGTGCAGTAGATTTTGTACTATGTTCTCCTTGCTGTACATTTCATCCTTGTTACTATTAATTTTATAACTGGAAGTTTGTACTTGTTGATCCCATGTCGCCCCCCGCAACTCCCACTCTCTTATGGCAACTGCCTGTCTGTTCTCTGAGTTGGTATTTAGGAGTCTGCATTTTGTTTTTGTTTTGTTTTTGTTGGTTTTTGTATTCCACATGTAAGTGAAATCATGCGGTATTTATCTTTCTCTGTCACTGATTTCACTTAATGCCTTCAAGATCTATCATGTTGTTAAAAATGACAAAGTTTAATTCTTTTTTATGGCTGAATGATGTTCCTGTGTATGTGTGTGTGTGTGTGTGTGTGTGTGTGTGTGTGCGTGCATGTATGTGCCACGTCTTCTTTATTCATTCATCTGTCAATGGATGCTTGAGTTGTTTTCATATCTTGCCTATTGTAAATAATGCTGCAGTGACCATAGGGTGCATGTATCTTTTCAAATGAGTGTTTTTGTTTTCTTCAGCTAGATACCCAGTAGTGGAATTGGTAGATCACTGAGTAGTCTTATTTTTGATTTTCTGAGGAACCTCCCTACTGGTTTCCATAGTGGCTGTATCAATTTACATTCCCACCAACAGTACACAAAGATTCCCTTTTCTCTACATCCTTGCCAACACTTGTTATTTCTAGTCCTTTTCATAATACCTATTCTAACAGGTGTAAGGTGATAAATATCTCATTATGGTTTTGATTTGCATTTCCCTGATGATAAATGATACAGAGCATCTTTTCATATACCTGTTGGCCATCTGTATATCTACTTCAGAAAAATGCCTGCTCAGTCTTATGCCCATTTTTTAATCAGATTGAATTGTATGAGTTCTTTATGTATTTTGGATATTGGTCCCTTATTAGATAAATGATTTGCAAACATTTTCTCCCATTCAGTAGGTTGCCTTTCATTTTGTTGATGGTTTCCTTTGCTGTGCAGAAGCTTTTTAGTTTTTTGTAGACCCACTTGCTTATTTTTGCTTTTGTTAGTTTTGTTTTTGGTGTCAGATTTAAAAAACTATCACCAAAACCTATGTTAGGGAGCTTTCTACCTATGTTTTCTTCTATTTTACTCATTTAGTTAACATTTCCAGCATGGGAAGTTGAAGAGTTCCTAGACAATTGTTCTCTATCACTAGGGCTCCTGCTGATTTCATTTTGGTTTTTACTGTCTTCTCATGTTTTCAAGTTGACCTCATCTTAATCTCAACTAATTATCTATCTCTATGGAGTTTTGCCATGTCCCTTTAAGACCAAAATGTGACTTTAAAGGCTCTAAATTCACTTGACTATCCTTTTATTCACTCTTCTTTAGTTCTGGCTTTATGAACTGACCATGTGTTCTCTCCAAGGCCACACCTTCCTAGAAATAATAGCAATACTGTATTTATGTATTGCTTTAGCTTTTAGTAATCCTGTGTGTGTACGTTGTGTGTGTGTGTGTGTGTGTGTGTGTGTGTGTGTGTGTGTGTGTGTGTGTTTGTAGATGTATGTATCTTCCACTGCATACACAGACTTGCTGGGTAATAAAATGGTATTAAAACACAAATATGTTTTTACTTCATAATTTTTTTCTGTTTAAATTTATTACTAATGACTGGTAGATTTTTTAACATTTTTTATTATACATATTAAATATATAAATAAATGTATGAAATACATGTAATATTTTGAAATCCTGTAAAATAAATATGCAAGTAAAAGTACTTAAACAAATAGCTCTGACCTTGAAAAAAATTCCCAGTTCTTTAAACCAAATCTATACCTTTACTTTGTAATTTATAGTATGAAACCAGTTTTTTAAAACTGTTATAATAAATCCTATATTTTCTCTAAATTATGCTTAAGAATAGTTCACCTTTATTATTTTTTAAATGAAAAAAATGAGTAAACCAAATTAAACAGAAACTCTTAGATGCCTTACTGACTCCTCTGATTGCTGTGACATTCATTTAAAGTGAGAAATACCACATACATTTCTTCAGTTTCTCTCATTCATCTTAATACATCTTGTTTCCCTTTGGGTCTTATGCTGTGCTAATATTTGATCTGTGGATCTGATACGGTGTTTTCTACCATTAGTAAATATTATGAGAAATTGATAAGAACAGACTGATTTTATTATTTTAATACCTAGACAGAAATTGGGGCATTACATTATTTTAAAAATATATTGAAATGATATGTGTGTCTGTTTTGCTTTAGTTTTTACCAGATTCGTGCATCTATGAAAATTCCACCAAGAGTCCCCCACAGAGTAGAAGCTAGTTTGTTACATGCAGCAGGTAAGCAAAGGAATATTTTCAACATTTAAAAAAGTTTGAAGCAACATTACAGTGGCCAATAATAATGTTACATAATTATTTTTATTTTTTAATTAGAAATATAAGATATCAAACAGCATCATTATAATTTCTATTATAAGAAATATAGTTGAGGCCTCAGTAATAACAGGCTTGGTTATAGGTTCCTTGTTTCCCTCTTAGGTTTCTTATGATGAGAAAATGAAAGAATGTATGTAAAATTCCCATGAAAAAAACATAAGTAGGGGTGGTATCAGTTATATCATGTAAGGTATAATTTAAAAAATACACAGCTAATGTGAACTTATAATTGAATATATAATTACAAAGGTGTTATGTGATAAAGTTTTATAGTATGCCTTTTGAGAATTTCTTTTTAACCAGACTCTTTTTCTGGGTTACCTATTCTAATTAGAAAACAAAGAGCCTGAAAGCAATGTAAGAAGGTGTAAAATAGATGTGTTACAGCAGCTCTGTTAGTTACTTATGTCCTATGGAGAGACAGCAGCATTAACATGTTTGAAGCGAACTGGCGGCCCTGCTCTTAGTGGGCCTTGTCAGCTTTCCTGGTACAGTGTGCTCTGCTGCATCCTATGCAGGTAGGAAATGAAATGGGGAATGAAACATTCTAGTGAGTTATTGTATATATCAAATAGGAATTACTAGTTTTCAGAGCATCATACAGTAATAAAATACACCTAACACTCAAGCTATGCTAAGCATAATTCAGTCCACTTTTTAAATTTAAAAAAGTGTTCTGTAAATTTGGATTGTTTAAGAATATCTTTTTTAGCATAATGTGGACACTAAAATGCTAGTTAATGTTAACTATTAATGAATTGTATTTAATGGAGAGTTTACTCAATCTTCCTGAAGACTCTTAAAATGCCTACTGCTTATGGCCAAAGATAGGTATATTCTTTTAAAAAGAAAAACTTTTCTTCTTGACGTGGCTTACATATATTCATGTTAAAGTGTATGAGGATTTTTGCATCTCTGTTCATCAGAGATACTGGCTTGTAATTTTATTTTCTTGCAGTCTTTGGCTCCTATATCAGGGTAATAATAGCCTTGTAGTATGGGTTCAGAAGTCTTCCTTCCCGATTGGTGTTTTTGGAAAAGTTTGGAAAGGATTGGCATTATTTCTTCTTTAAATGTTCAGTAGAATTCAGCAGTGAAGCCATCTGAGCCATCTGGTCCTGAGATTTAATTTGTTTGGAGATTCTTGATTACTGATTCAGTCTCTTATTATTGGTCTGTTCAGTTTTCTCTTTCTTCACAAATCAGTCTTAGTAAGGAGTATGTCTTTAGACATTTATCCATTTCTTCTAGGTTATCTAATTTGTTGGCATATAGTTGTTTATGTAGTCTGGTATCCTTTGTGTTTCCATGGTATTGTAATGTCTCCTCTTTCCTTTATAATTTTATTCACATCATCTCTCTTTTTCTTAGTCTTGCTAAAGTGTGTTGATTTTGTTTATCTTTTCAAAAAACCAACTCTTAGTTTTGTTGACCTTTTCTATTGTCTTTTTTGTCTCTATTTTGTTTATTTCCACTCTCGCCTTTATTATTTCCTTCCTTCTGCTAACATTGGGCTGAATGTGTTCTTTGAATAGTACCTTGAGTTGTAAGGTTAGGTTTCAGATCTTTCTAGGTCACTTGTATGACAGAAATGGTACAGTAATTAGTATCATTTACAAAGTAATGGTAATCCAGCATTATGACAAATGGTATTTCATAAATACTCAAAAAGTAGAATACCTTCTTTTTTCTTGTGATTTCTTGACCATTGTAATTTTTGCTTTTTATTAGTTAAAAGTCAAGATTTGATCATTGGTACTACCAATTGGGTTTCTTTCTAGTTGCTGAAAATATCAGCTGCATATTTTTAACCAAAATGTGAATGGTCTGATAGTTTACTAGAGTGTGGTGGGGAAGTATCTTTTAATAATAAATTGTTTATGGCAGACACCAGTCTTTAAAAGGGAAGCTTGGGTTTGGAAGACAATAGACTTCCATAATACAAAATTTCAGTTTATATATAAAGACATTATTTATGTGTGTATTTTTATAGCATTATACCAGAAAAATTTTAAGAGGTTGCTTACTTTTTAATTAAAGTATAGCAGCTAAAATGGCAAATACAAGAACCAGATTTGGACAGAAAAATAAAAAAATATATAAAATTTATTTTATACTTTTTTCTTACTGTTTTTCAAAACAGCAAACTTGTCTGTCATGTCTTAAATTCATTACCTATATGATTTCTCAAGATTTTTTTGATTGCAAATGTTGTATCAGTATACTGTATTTTTCTTTAATTTAGAATATCTTGTTTTTCTTGTTCATGGGGTACCCAGTGATATCTACAGTTTTACAAGTAAAGTGACCCTGAACAAATTATGAGATGTGCTGCGTTCTTTGCCCAGTACCATTCCCAGTGTGATTATTTTTATATGTGCGTAGTGTTCCATAGCTTTTGAATTTTGTTTCATTCTCTGGACACTTCAATGATAACTTTAATCTGACGTCCCAAGTGTATTTCCTGCTAGCATACCTCAGAATAGCCTATCATGTTAAATGTTTTTTAAATTTATATGAAAATTATAGACAATAGTGGTTGATGGAATATGGTAAACTTATTTGAAACTCACAGGTATGGGAGATCCAAAATAATGTTTTAGTATCCATGGTCTGAAAAAAGAAAAAAAAAAGAGCAAAGAGGGCAGCCATTTTCTTCCAGTCTTTGATATATTGATTCTTTTCTTTTTATGTCCTTCCTCCTCCAAGATTTGTTTCATTTTAAAATAGTATAAAGGAGTCCCTGGAGTGTGTATCTTTTTAATATTAGTAAGTTCATTAGGGAAAGATATCTTTCCCAAAATTTTCTGCCTTCAGAATTATACCTGTGTATTTGGCTGACTTTGTTTTAATAAATACACATCATTGATTCTAGACTCATCCTTCATTAAACCATAAGGGTAGTTTTCCTTTATCCTCTCTGCTCATTCTTTCACTTCTGTTCCTTAAAAATTCACATTTTCTGTTGAGGGCTTGGATTTTTCTCTGTACTTTATCCTGTTTTTCTTCTAACTTTGATTTGTACTTTCAAGACCTTTCCTTTCCAGCACTGTATTTAACCATAATTCCTACACTTTGTGTATATTTCTGCAAAACTTTTAGGAGGAAGAGAGAAATGATAACTTTGCATGTGGGTTGCAGTAGGATAGATTAGATGTGGTAGGAATCAGGTGGTATTATACAGTTTATTACAACACATTTAAATTATTTCCAGCACGAAATTGTGCTGACAGTATGAGGTTTGAGTCAGGAAATAGCTGTCATCTGCAATAACATCAGTCATGAAAAACAATGCGTATTTATAGGGCTGTTGAAAATTGATTAATAAGAAAACATTCAGAGAGACGTTTACAACCAAGAAGTCATTGCTGGTTCTAGGAAGCTGCACCCCACTTGAAATGTTAGAGCACTTACGTATAGTTTTGATGAAAAGTTAAGTTTAGCAACTCCCCATTTCTAGTAGTGATAATATTCTTTTCAAACCAGAAGCATGTTGTTTTATTTGCTTTTAAATATCTATCCACCTTTTCGTCCCTTGGCAGTGAAAACAAAACAGGCAAATAGTTCAAAGATCTGTTAGTCCAGAGATTTGTAGTGAAAATCATAGCTTCTTCTCTAAGTGTGTGCACTTTTAACTATTTCACTACCCTAATGGTTTCCTCTGTATAGACATTTTCACTTCCTGTAATGATAAATGACAATTTATCTTAGTGAGACTATTGTCTCCCTTCTTCTCCCCCTCCTGTATCTTTCTTATATATATATTAGTTGAAGCTACCATTATTGTAGCTTCAACTAATATATGTAAAGCTCCTTTTCCTACTTCAGCAAATGTATGACTGATCCCTCATTTTACAAAGTAAGCAAATAAGCAAAATCTTGCTCTTTTTTTCAGATTCTCTCTCTTTACCTCCCAACCTGTTAGATATATCCTTTGTTTTATATTAACAAGGTTGCTAACATTCATTTTCTATTTTGTAGCTGTAGTTAAATCTTAATATGCTTTGACCATGGGTTGATTCCAAATATTGAAAACAAGTAAACAGCATTTTCATTTTTATGGCAATACAAGAGGGAAAGGGCTTATAAAATTGAAATGACTGTTCCAACATCAAAAGGAGGATCTTCTGGCAAAACAAGGCAAATCTAGTTACCATTTTGGTATTGAGGTGGGTCACCTGTGCTGTAGAGGGTAGATATAGATATATCTTAGGTGTTTTAGAAGCTATAAATTCAAAGATGGAGCTCTGTTTAGTTAACAAAGTAGTGACTTGGAATCAAGATACCAGCGTCCTTTTATGTTACCTTGGAAAATTTAACATCTGTAAGCTTCAGTTTCTTATCTGGGAAATGTGTTACCTGCTTTACAAGGTTGTTGTGCATTATATGTATGAAAGTTCACAGCAAACTAAAGGGCTGTATTCATGTAAAGTATTATTGGGCTTCTATTCGTAAGAAAGAAAGGGAAGCAGTCACATTTTGACTCAGTTACTATGTTATTTGTGAATCCTTTAATGTTATAAAGATCTGAAACTTACAATAAAGTTAATTTGATGTCCTATGGTTTATATAATTTGTTAGGCAACAGAGTAATTAAGTACATAGGATAGCATCTCATATTAATAAGTACATTTAAAAATGTTTAAAAAATTGATAAATCCATTTCTGGAGTAATAAGCATGAACTAGGAAGACCGAGGGCAAGAAAGGAACACTGAATGGGAGGAGAGACCTCCCGAGAGACCCTGAATGTGTGACTCGTCGGGAAATCTAGGGACCTGGGCTTGCATTTCTGTGCTCATCAAACTAGCTTAATCTGCAGAAAGTGTTTGAGTTTGGGCAGAATTTCAAGTCTTGTTCTGCCCCTCACTGACTGTATGGTGTGGAGTAGTTCAGTCTCTC